GAGGAAGAGAGAGGGATAGAGAGTCAGAAACACCAATCAGCTGCCTCCTGCACACCCCTCACTGGGGATGTGTCTGCAACCAAGGTACATGCCCTTGACCAGAATCGAACCCAGGACCTTTCAGTCCGCAGGCCGACGCTCTATCCACTGAGCCACACCGGTTTCGGCTCTTCTTCTTTTTTTTTAATCACCATGGAAGAAAGAAAGAAAGAAAAAATCACTGAAGTGAACTGAAACCGGTTTGGCTCAGTGGATAGAGCGTCGGCCTGCGGACTGATAGGTCCCGGGTTCGATTCCGGTCAAGGGCATGTACCTTGGTTGCGGGCACATCCCCAGTGGGGGGTGTGCAGGAGGCAGCTGACTGGGTGACCTCGGTGTGGGTAGTTGATTAGGAGGGTGTCTGGGGGGTTGCCTTTGGGGTGAATGGGAGTTGATTTGGAATAACTTTGAGGGTGTGCGTGGGGGTGATTTTAAGTTTATAGGTGCCCCGGGGGTGATTTTTGTGAGTCGTTTTTTTTTTTTAAAAAAATTTATTGATTTTTCACAGAGAGGAAGAGAGAGGGATAGAGAGTTAGAAACATCGATGAGAGAGAAACATTGATCAGCTGCCTCCTGCACACCCACACTGGGGATGTGCCTGCAACCAAGGAACGTGCCCCTGCCTGGAACCGAACCTAGGACCCTTCTGTCCATCCATCGAGCCAAACCGGTTTTGGTGTGAGAGTCATTGTGGGGTTTCTAGGAGGCGACTTTGGTGATGGGGACGGGAGTGACTTGGAGGATGTCTGTAAACTCGGGGGCCCTTTGGGGATACTGCTCAGGGGTGTCCGTGAAATGAGTTCAGAGGTTGACCTTGGAGAGTGTGTGAGGGCAACTCCAGGACAATTCCTCCCCCCACGCCCACCTCCTCCACCCCCAGTTCTCATCCACATGAGCATGGGCTTCATGATGCTGGCCTTGACCAAGTGTTTCATCCTCCTCCTCACCATGGCCCTCTCCTTCCGGCCGGTCTTCCGCCGCCTCAACAAGCTCGACCTGGTCTTCAGCTTCCTCAGCTTCAGCATCGGTAAGGGGCGGCCGGGAGCCAGGGCGCCCCCACGACCCAGCACCTGTGCCCCCCCAGCCCAGGAGGCAGGTCTCAGAGTTCCCGTCCTACGGGCCCTGGGGCGGGTCTTTGAAAGTCCCTCACAGTTCTCCTTTCTCAGTTGGGGTGAGTGTGTGTGTGTGTGTGTGTGTGTGTCACCCTCCAGGTTATCTCTGTCCAGAGCATGTGTGTGTGTGTGTGTGTGTGTGTGTGTGTGTGTCACCCTCCAGGTTATCTCTGTCCAGAGTGTGTGTGTGTGTGTATGTGTGTGTGTGTGTGTCACCCTCCAGGTTATCTCTGTCCAGAGTGTGTGTGTGTGTGTGTGTGTGTGTGTGTATGTGTGTGTGTGTGTTTGTCACTCTCCAGGTTATCTCTGTCCAGAGTGTGTGTGTGTGTGTGTGTGTGTGTATGTGTGTGTCACCCTCCAGGTTATCTCTGTCCAGAGTGTGTGTGTGTGTGTGTGTGTGTGTGTGTGTGTATGTGTGTGTCACCCTCCAGGTTATCTCTGTCCAGAGTGTGTGTGTGTGTGTGTGTATGTGTGTGTGTGTGTGTCACCCTCCAGGTTATCTCTGTCCAGAGTGTGTGTGTGTGTGTGTGTGTATGTGTGTGTGTGTGTGTGTGTGTGTGACCCTCCAGGTTATCTCTGTCCAGAGTGTGTGTGTGTGTGTGTGTGTGTGTGTGTGTGTCACCCTCCAGGTTATCTCTGTCCAGAGCATGTGTGTGTGTGTGTGTGTGTGTGTGTGTGTGTGTCACTCTCCAGGTTATCTCTGTCTGTCCAGAGCGTGTGTGTGTGTGTGTGTGGCATCCTCCAGGTTATCTCTGTCCAGAGCATTTGTGTGTGTGTGTGTGTGTGTGTGTGTATGTGTGTGTGTGTGTGTGTGTGTGTGTGCTGGAGGGCCTGGGGCAGTGTGTGTGTGTGTGTGTGTGTGTGTGTGTGTGTGTGGCATCCTCCAGGTTATCTCTGTCCAGAGCATTCGTGTGTGTGTGTGTGTGTGTGTGTGTGTGTGTATGTGTGTGGCATCCTCCAGGTTATCTCTGTCCAGAGCATTTGTGTGTGTGTGTGTGTGTGTGTGTATGTGTGTGTGTGTGTGTGTGTGTGTGTGCTGGAGGGCCTGGGGCAGTGTGTGTGTGTGTGTGTGTGTGTGTGGCATCCTCCAGGTTATCTCTGTCCAGAGCATTCGTGTGTGTGTGTGTGTGTGTGTGTGTGTGTGTGTGTATGTGTGTGGCATCCTCCAGGTTATCTCTGTCCAGAGCATTCGTGTGTGTGTGTGTGTGTGTGTGTGTGTGTGTGTGTATGTGTGTGGCATCCTCCAGGTTATCTCTGTCCAGAGCATTCGTGTGTGTGCGCGCGCGAGTGCCGGAGGGCCTGGGGCACCTCTTTAGCCCAGTGTCCATCTCTGGCCCCACCCAAGCGCAGGGCTCCTGGCTCTCCTCAGCATGACGCTCTTTACAGTCCACTCCGAGTCCCTGAAACCAAGGGCACAGGTCTTCTACCTGATCACCAGCTACCTGTGCTGGGGCGCCGGCGCCTTGATGCTGTGGACCGGTGAGAGGGGGGACGGGAGGGGGCGCCCTGGGGAGGAAGGGGCGGGGCCAGGGAGGCGGGCCTGCCTAGGGGATGAAGCGGGAAAGAACGGAATGAGGAAGATAGGGAGAAACAGACACGCAGTGGTCGGGGAACTCAGTCAATGGAGCCAAATAGCAATAGGACTACGACTGAAATTTCTTTTGAGAGACAAATATTTTTAAAAAAATATATATTTTATTGATTTTTTTTTTTACAGAGAGGAAGGGAGAGGGAGAGAGAGCTAGAAACATCCATGAGAGAGAAACATCCATCAGCTGCCTTCTGCACACGCCCTACTGGGGATGTGCCCATAACCAAGGTACATGCCCTTGACCGGAATCGAACCCGGGACCCTTCAGTCCGTAGGCCGTGGCTCTATCCACTGAGCCAAACGGGTTTCGGCGAGAGCCAAATTTTTTAAACTTAAACTTCTTCTAATGTCACGTCTTCAAATGGACCCGCCCAGGCTGCGGTATTTTGTGGAAGAGCCACACTCAAGGGGCCAAAGAGCCGCAGGTGGCTTGTGAGCCGCAGTTTGCTGACCACGGATGACCTCTGAGGAGGCGGGGCCTAGAAGCCTGGGCGGGGCGTGAGGAGGGGCTTAGGGGCCTGGGCGGGGCCTGAGCGAGGCGGGAGGCGGGGTCTAGGGGTGGGGCCGGGGCGGGGCCTGGGCAGGGCCTTGTGGGGCGGGAGGCGGGGTCTAGGGGCCTGGGCGGGGCCTGGGCGGGGCCTGGGCGGTGCGGGAGGCGGGGTCTAGGGGCCGGGGCAGGGCCGGGGCGGGGCTTAGGAGCCTGGGAAGGGCCTGGGTGAGGCGGGAGGCGGGGCCTAGGGGATGGGGCGGGGCCTGGGTGAGGCGGGAGGCGGGGACTAGGGGCTTGGGTGGGGCCTGGGCGGGGCAGGAGGCGGGGTCTAGGGGCCAGGGCGGAGCTTAGGGGCCTGGGCAGGGCCTTGCTGGGCGGGAGGCGGGGTCTAGGGCCGGGGCGGGGCCGGGGTCCCGCCGCCCACCCGCCCCTCCTCCGCAGGAGTGCTGAGCTACTTGAACTACAGGGGCATGTGGAGCCAGGCCTCCTTCTCCTGGGACCGGCGGGTGAGCTACCGCCGCTGGGTCTCGCGGCTCAACTCCGTGAAGCACGTTTCCCTACAGTCAGAGTCCAAGTCAGCCCCCAGGCAATCCGAGGACCCGCTGCAGGGGATCCTCGCCTAGCCTCCCCGAGCCGCTGCTTCTCAGGACACGGACGGACACCTGGGCCCGGGGAGGGGTCAGCCGCCCCCCTCCCACCTCTGCTCCCTAAGAACGTGCCTCGCCCCCCCTCCCGAGGGCTAGCTGACAAAGCCAGGACCCTCAAGCTGGGGCCCACCCTTTGGGACTCAGTCCCCGCCCACGGAGGCCTCACCTTGTCCCCATCCCAGAAGTCAGACACCAGCCCCTGCCAAGGGGCCGGTGGGTGTGAATCTGCTCCCATCCTAGCGTGGCCCCGCCCCATCCTAGGCAGGCCACGCCCCACTCACAGGCAGAGCACGCCCACCCAGACAGGCCACGCCTCACTCCCAGCCAGGCCACGCCCACTCCCAGCCAGGCCACGTCCATCCCAAAAGACCATGCCACATCCCACCTAGGCTACGCCCCAATCCCAGACAGACCACGCCCCACCCTAGCTAGGCCACGCCCCACATCTGGAAAGACCACGCCTGCTCCAGACAGACCACGCCCCCATAGCCAGGCCACGCCCCACCTCCAGAAAGACCCATCTTAGACAAGGCCACTCCCAAATCCCAGACAGACCACGCCCCCACCCTAGCTAGGCCACGCCCTCCACCCTCAGAACTCCTCCCCGTCCGAGCCCCTGGACAGGACAGAGCGCCCCCCCACCCCACTTTTGATGTAGCCCCTCCCCAGGAGGGCGTGGCTGGCAGTAGCATCCCTTGCCCACCTTCCCCGGCTTCCTGCGCCTCAATAAAATGTGGGCACCCTCCTCCATGGCGTCCTCTCCCCCGGGGCAGGGTCGGGCCCAGCATGTGCGAACCGGCCTGGAGTCCCTGCCTCCCTCTCTCTGCCTGTGTGTCTGCACCCGTCTCTGCCCGTCCTTTCCCTTGTCTGTGACTGCGGGCCTCTCTCTCCCCCCACCCTCCACCCCCCAAGACAGGGCGGGCTGGGGAGACTCCAGCCTGGCCCTGGAGACGGGGGAGGGGGTCCGGGCTGCAGGTGTGGAGCGTCTGGGAGGCCAGATGACACCAGAACTCGAAGCGAATCGGATGCATATTTGGTTTTATTGGGGACGGGGGTGGGGAGGGGTGAGGGAGGGAAGGGTGGGGGGAGAGGAGGGGGGGTCAGGGATAGGGCGGAGGCATTCAGGCGTTGTCTTCCATGGTCTTCTTGATCCAGCCCACGAGGGGCAGAACTCTGGTGAAGACCCCAGGCATGTTGGGTCGGGCGCAGGGGGAGTGGCCCCAGGACGTGATTCCCTGGAGGACGCCGCCGCAGACCAGCGGGCCCCCGGAGTCACCCTGCAGGAGCCGGGGGGGGGGCGGTGAGGGAGGTCAGTGAGGCTGGAGTCCAGCTACAGGGAGACACAATTGTCTCCGGAGCCCACTCCCAGCAGGTGGCGGGGTTCCAACAGGGAGGCAGTGGGTGGGGTTCCGGCCAATGGGGATTGGGCACCAGGGCCCGGTTTCCGTGACTGGGGGGGGGGAAGGGGGGGAAGCAGGGCCCAGGAGGACCGTCCCTGCAGGAGGAGGAGGAGGAGGAGGAAAGGAGGAGGAGGGCATCCACCCATGGCACCCTCCCACCTCAGGGCTCATCTCAGATGTCGCCTCTCCCAGCCAGCTTTGGTAGGGGGGGGGGGCTGCACCTGCGTGCCAGAGGGAGGAGGGGGATGCACGGGCCACCAGATTGGGGGTGTGGGAAGGAAAGGGGCGGAGGAGGGAGCTGGAGCCCCGGGGAAGGGGCTGTACCCAGCAGCCTTGGACACCGATGCCTGGATAGCTTTCAGCCCCAGCCCAGAGCCTGAGTCCCCCCTCTCCCACTCCCCCCCCAGCCCCCCAGCCTGCTGAGGCCCAGGGGGGGGGGCAGGCTGCTTACCGCACACGTGTCCTTGCCCCCCTCCAGGTTGCCGACGCACATCATGACGTCTGTCACCTTCTGGGGGTGGGCCTCCGCGCACACCTTGTTGGGCAGGACTTTGAGGTCCACACACTGGAGCTCGTCCGGGTACTCGGCTGTGGGCGGGGGGGGGGGGTAGAGGAACAGGGCTGCAGCTGAGGCCCCCTGACACCCCCTGGCTCCTGGGCCCCTTCCCTCAGACCCCGGAGTCCCCCGCCCCCCCCCCCCCCCCGCGTGCCCAGGGCCCAGGCTGGCACGCACAGGGGTACGGGCTGGTGCTGCCCCAGCCGGAGGCGTAGCAGGTGCTGCCCAGCTTGGGGGCCTGGGTGGGCAGGTCCAGGACCTGCACGTGGTCCGTGATCCTCACGGCCTCGGCCAGCCGCAGCAGCATGAGGTCGTAGCTGTAGTCCTCGCCGGGGTGCGTGGTGTGGTTCTTGAGGAGGCCCAGGTTGAAGCCGGGGTGCGGGAAGCTCCCGCTGACCTGCACGTACTGCCCCGAGTCCTCCTCCTCAAACAGGTTGTGGCGGCCCAGCCAGAGCTGGTAATTGCTGGGGAGAGAGAGCGAGGGGGGGGGGGCGCGGGGCATGAGGGGGCAGGAGGGGGAGAGAGGGGAGGGGGGCAGGGCGGCATGGGGCCGGGAGGGGGGGAGAGAGAGAGAAAGAGAGAAAGAGGGAGAGGGAGAGGGAGAGGGAGAGAGAGAGAAGTGAGGAAGGACAGGGAGAGAGAGAGAGGAAGAGGGAGAGGGAGAGGGAGAGGGAGAGAGAGAAAGAGGGAGGGAGAGGAAGAGGGAGAGGGAGAGGGAGAGAGAGAAAGAGGGAGGGAGAGGAAGAGGGAGAGGGAGAGGGAGAGAGAGAAAGAGGGAGGGAGAGGAAGAGGGAGAGGGAGAGGGAGAGAGAGAGACAGAGAGAGACAGAGAGAGAGAGAGAGAGAGAGAGAGAGGGGGGGGGGAGAGGGAGAGGGAGAGAAAGAGGAAGGGAGGGAGGGAGGGAGGGAGGGAGGGAGGGAGAGAGAGAGAGAGAGAGAGAGAGAGAGAGAGAGAGAGAGAGAGAAAGAAGAAGGGAGGGACGGAGAGAGAGAGAGAGAGATAGGAAGAGGGAGAGGGAGAGGGAGAGGGAGGGAGAGAGAGAAAGAGGAAGGGAGGGAGGGAGGGAGGGAGAGAGAGAGAGAGAGAGAGAGAGAGAGAGAGAGAGAGAGAGGGAGAAGCTAGAGCCCAGGAGGCGGGTGGGGAGGCGGTACGGGTGTGACAGAGAGAGAGAGACCAGGGAGGGAGGGCAGGAGGGGCTGGGGCAGCAGACGGAGGAGGGGCCTGTGCCCAGCTCAGCAGCAGCTGGGGCTGTGGGGCCGGTTCCCCAGCAGGCGGGTGGCCTGGCCCCCAGCCCAAGGTCAGCGTCCCCCTTCCCTCCCCTGCACCCTTCCCTCCCCCGGTGGCCCTCAGGGCCCTCACACAGCCCCAGGGGAGACTGGGCCTCCCCTGGGGGCCTCCTGGGGGGCGGGGCTGGGCAGAGTGAGAACCCCCGTTCACCCAAAATGTTGGGGACCACCCTCCCTTTTCTCTGGGGGTCCCCTCCGTCCCATGCTGGGGTGTGTGTGTGCACCGTAGGGACGGGGAGAGGGAGTGTGGCAGAAACCCAGAGACAGACAGACAGACAGACAGCAGGGAGCTAAAGGGTGAGACGGTGACAGAGATGGGCAGAGACAGGGAGACACAGAGACATGGAGACAGAAGAGAGAGAGAGAGAGAGAGACAGAGGCAGGGTCACAGCCACAGAGCCACCTACCCTGGGACAGACAGGACAGAGGGAGACAGAGACAGGTCTAGGGGAGGGACGGAGGCAGACTGAGGCCCAGTCCTGTGGTGGCACAGACCCCCTCCCCCCACCCTTCCCCCCCCCCACCTCCGCCACCCCGGGGCCCTCCCCCCTACTCACTCGCTGATGCAGTGGGCAGCGGTGAGCACCCACTGGGGGGCCACCAGGACGCCCCCACACTCGAAGCGGTTGTAATGGTACAGGGCCGCCTGCCAGGGCTGGGCCTTCTTGCACTCCCAGCCTCCCACGATGCGGGACTGGGCGAGGGGCACGGCGCCTGCGGGGAGAGGGGGCGGGGTGCAGGGTCAGGGCGGAGGGGGGTGGCCGGGGGTGGGGGAGGGGAGAGGGAGCCGTGCTATGGACACGCAGGGCAGAGGGCCGGGGCCGAGGACATGGGCAGGAGGTGCTGGGAACGGCCCAGGATCCTGCAGGCTCCGGGGCTGCGGGCGGGTGGACAGCAGAGCTGACCCCATCGGGTGCGGGCTGGGCTTTTCGGGGTGATGGCGGGGGGAGGGTCTTGGGCTGTAGGACCAGAGGCTGGGGGTTTGGAGGGGGGAAACCCAGGCGGAAGGCCCCAGGAGGGTGGCTCAGAGCTGGGCGGAAGGGTCTGAGGGTGGAGAGGCTTCCAGGCTGGTGACATGATTAGGGATGTATTTTATTTTATTTATTTTATTTTATTTATTTTATTTTATTTATTTATTTTTTTGGTGGGGGGTAGGAGGTTGGGCTTTTGGGGCTTCTGGAGAGGGCATGATTTTGGGGAATCAGGTCTGAGCAGCCGAGAAGAAGCACCTGGGGAATGTGGGGGTGACTGGGGTTCCTGGTTGAGAGGATTCGGGGTTCTGGGCCCAAGAGTGGCACACGGGGTCTGGCTGGGAGAGGGCTCCTGTATAGGGTTTGGGGTGTGGTGACCAGGGCATGGCGTTCTAAGAGTGTATGTATGTGTGTGTGTGTGTGTGTGTGTGTGTGTGGGAGCCCCTGGGACAGGATCGGGGTCAGGACTGGGCTCAAAAGGAGGGAGATCGTCATTCTGGGACGGGGCGAGTCTGTGGAGCTGGTCACAGTATGGGGGGTTGGGGGGGAAGGGAGGGGATCTGGGTGCCCTGTGCGGGGCAGGATGCCAGGACAGGAATGGAGACAGAGGCATACGGGGCCGAGCAGCTGTGGGAATGCGGGGAGAACCCACGTGATGTGAGGTTCTTGGGGGAGGGAGGGGGGCGGGACAACTGGGCTGGGAAGGCATATGGGATCCTGGGGAGGGGGTTGTCCCGGAAAGCCAGAGCTGGGCAGGGGGTGCAGCGGGGGGGGGGGGAAGGCTCAGCTGGAGGGAGGACGGAGAGGCCACAGGAAAGAAGCCGGAGTTGGGGGTGCTGGGTGCAGGTCTCGGGGCAGAGCGTGAGGGAACAAAGGGCCAGTCAGAAGACCCCCGTCAGAGGTGTCTGATAGCATCTGGGGGGTCCTGGGAGGTTTGGGGGGGCACCCAGTGACCTGCTTGAGAGCTGGCAGCTGGAGGGGTAGGATATGGGGACCCGGGAGCCAGACCATGGGGCCACCGAGCTCTGGAGGGGTGAGAGGGGGTGATCAGGGCCCCTGGGTCTGCTGGGATTGGGTGGGGTGGTCCTTGGAAGAGTTGGCGTCCCCCACAGAGCGAGACAGAGCCGGCCCAGGGTGCCTCCACGGTAGAGGGGCTGGGGGCGGCATCGGAGTGGGGAAGAGCAGAAAGTCCTGGGAGTTGCCCTAACCGGTGTGGCTCAGTGGATAGAGCGTCAGCCTGCAGACTCAAGGGTCCCAGGTTCGATTCCGGTCAAGGGCATGTACCTTGGCTGCGGGCACATCCCCAGTAGGGTGTGTGCAGGAGGCAGCTGATCAATGTTTCTCTCTCGTTGATGTTTCTAACTCTCTCCCTCTCCCTTCCTCTCTGTAAAAAAAAAAAAAAAAAAATCAATAAAATATATATATTTAAAAAAAGTCCTGGGAGTTCCTGGGAGGCGAGGACTGTGGAAAAGGTGAGGAGGAGGAGGAGGAGGAGTGGCTGGGAGAGAGAGGAAGGAGTCTGGGGGTCTGGTCGTGTTGGAGGGGTGCAGGCTGGGGAGCTGGGTAGGAGGGAAAGGACTCCCAGCCCTCCCACCCCTTCCCAGCGGGCTTACCAGTGCCTGCCAGGCACAGAGCAAGGCCCAGGACCAGGAACCACATGGTGGCAGCGGTGTCTGGGGGCAGGCAGGCAGGCAGGCAGGTGCTGAGCCAGGAGGGCCTCCCCCGGGGAGCCTTTAAAAGCCCCTAGGGCCCCGCCCCTGCCCTGCTGGCACTCCTGTGCCAGCCACCTCCCCCCTCCCTGCCCGCAGAGGGCCGGGAGAATGAGCAGCTGCTGATCACAAGGGCCTGCCGCCCGCCCGTTGATTGCGATTGCGATTGCGTGCTGGGAGGGAGCCTTGGCTGGGGGTTGGAGGTGGGGGGGGGGATGAGGAGGGCGGGGTTGGCTCCCGGGGCCTTGCTCTTGGGGACAGAGCCAGTGAGAATGTCATAGGCAGCGAGACAGACCCGGGCAGAGCAAGGACGATGGGCCAGGGACAGAAGGTCACAGGGCCGAAAGCCCAGGCGTCCACCTGACCCCCCACTTCCCGGGTGTAAACTTTCCTCCCTGATAGCATCGCTCCCTGGTGCTGCGGTTTCGACCCCCTCACCTGCCTCCTCCGGGGATAACCACGTCTAGGCTTCGGTTGTGTCTCAGCTCCAGGCCGAGCACAGCGGCCACACCAGAGAAGGGAGGCCATGGCTGCCCTGAGTCAGGACCAGTTGCCATAACTAATGACTCTTGCCCCCGGGGCCAGCCAATCAGGTGGAGACCGGGACCCTGAAAGGACACACCTGGGAGTCGGACAGACACCTGTTCTGCTGAAACCCTCCCCTGAGGCCTCCCCCTGAGACCGCCCACCTGCAGGAGAGAGAGAACAGCCCTTAGGACGGAGGGTGGGCTCTCCCTCTGGGGCCCACACCTGTGCCTTCCCCTCCCCCCATAGGCAGGTGTCTATGGCTTAGTGGTTAGGAGACCTAACCTCTAAGGGACGGATCCTGGGAAGCTTGCAACCAGGGGAGCAGTGGGCAGCGGCAGCTCGTCCCAAGGCCCTCTTTTCTCTTTAAAAAAAAAAAATATTTTTTACAGAGAGGAAGGGAGAGGGATACAGAGCTTGAAATATCGATGAGAGAGAAACATCGACCAGCTGCTCCTGCACACCCCCTACTGGGGATGTGCCTGCAACCAAGGTACATGCCCTTGACCGGAATCGAACCTGGGACCCTTCAGTCCGCAGGCAAATGCTCCATCCACTGAGCCACACCGGTGAGGGCTTCTCGTACTTCTTAGTGAGCCAGAGCAGCCCGGCCTGGGCTTGCCTGTGGCTTCTTCTATGCTAAGCCCTTGGTTGTTTTGAGAAGGGCATTTGCTGCGGCCAATCCATTCTTTTAATTTTTTAATTTTTTAATTTTGTAAATATATTTTATTTTTTACAGAGAGGAAGAGAAGGGGAGATAGAGAGTTAGAAACATCGATGAGAGAGAAGCATCGATCAGTTGCCTCCTGCACACCCCCTACCGGGGACGTGCCCGCAACCAAGGCACATGCCCTTGCCCGGAATCGAACCTGGGACCCTTCAGTCCACAGGCCGACGCTCTATCCACTGAGCCACACTGGTTTCAGTGTGGCCAAGCCATTCTTGCTTGCTTGGCTGCACTGTGTCTCTTGACCGAAATCATTTCTTCAAGACCAGCACGGAGGGCTCGGCGTCTTGCAGGGAACAAGGGTGGGTGGGGGAGTGAGTGGGAACAGAGACAGGAGGTGGAGGAATCACAGGCCCCTCCCTCCAATACAAAGCTCCAAATTCCTGAACCCCAAGGAAGACCCCGTGTGCCCTCAAACACCAGCAGCGGGTATAGGATCGCCTTCTCCCTGCGCCGCTCGGAGCCAAGCCTCTCGGCTCCCAGATGCTGCTGACGTGGAAGCTTTGGCTTTCCAATGGCCTAGGTCAGTGTCTCCCAAAGTGGGGTCCGCGTATCCCCAGGGGTACGGGAAGAGTTGGGTGGGGGTACACGTTGCACTGGAGTTTGGTGGGGATATGCACTGCACCTGGCTTAGCCACGCCTAATTCTACGTTCTCATGAGTACGAGGGGGTACTAAGCGTTACGAAAATTATAGAAGGGGTACACCTATGTCAAAAGTTTGGGAAACAACTGGCCTAGGTCCCCACATCTATTGGTCCTCTCATCGTAAAATCTCGGGGTGCCCATTTCAGTTTTAGGCCCCCCCCCCCCCCGCCCCAGATCCAGAAAGGTAAAGTTTCTGTGGTCTCCCCTGAATATGTTCCCTAGCATTTCAACATCCATTGGCCCCCCTCCCCACCTCCTGGTTCCTCAGGTCTGATGCTCAAGGTCATGTCCTCCCAAGTCTCAGGACTCCATTGCCTTCCAACGTCAAGAGCATCCCCTCCACAAACCCCAGTCTCCCCTCCCCCAATGGGATGCAGAGTCCTCGGAGGCCAGATGGATGTGTACCTCAGCATGCAGTGACTTTGAAAAAAAATCACCTTTTTGGGGGTCTCTGGTGAGAACAAAAAACTAGATTCCTGCTCTCCTGGCTCTTGAGTAAAATGAAAGCAGCTCACAGGGTCCCAGTCTCCCTGTTAGGCCAGGAAAGGAGAGTGTTTGCTCCCCCCCCCCCTTTTGTATTTGCCTTTGTGCCATGGCTACCAGGAAGCCTGGAACGAGACCTTGGGGGAAAAAAAATGTACTCATTCTTTTTAATATATTTTATTGATTTTTTTTACAGAGAGAAAGGGAGAGGGATAGAAACATCGATCAGCTGCCTCCTGCATACCCCCTACTAGGGATGTGCCCTTAACCAAGGTACACGCCCTTGACCGGAATCGAACCCGGGACCCTTCAGTCCGCAGGCCGACGCTCTATCCACTGAGCCAACCCGGTCAGGGCAAACGTACTCATTCTTGACCATCTAGTGTGTGCGGGGTCCCGGCCGTGGGTCAGAGACAGAGAGTATTTCCCCAGGGCCAGGTCCTGGGTGAATCGGCTCCTGTGAATTTCCCCCTTGAACCCTATGGGTGAAGCCATAGGAGGAGGGAGACGGAGGCTGAGCCTTTTTTCCCCTCTCATTCCACACAGCAGCTCTCATGTGTGGATGGCACAGAGCCCTGCCTCAGGCCATTTCTCCTCACCCAGGGGTCCATGTACATTGGGTCTGGGGTCCCCGTCCCGTCTGTGGCCCCCTCATCCCCTTCGTCCCCAGAAGAAAGTCACAGAAAGAAACTTCCCCAGAGAAACTGGCGTCGAACATCAGAGCGGACGGGGCCGTGGACAAATGGGGTTTTGGGGGTGGGGGTGGGGGTGGCTGATTCTGTCCCAGGTCAGGATGGAGCGGCCATGGCCTGTCTGCTCAGTCAGAGACACGGGAGGTAGGGGTGAGGGTGAGGGGGTGGGGAGGGGGTCGGGATGGGAGGTCCCAGTCAGTCAGTTCCTCTGCATGGTGTCCCGGATCCAGTCCATGTACCGGCACACTTTGGTGTAGACCCCAGGCTTGGTGGTGGTGTCGCAGGGGACGTCGCCCCAGGATACGATGCCCTGCAGGACGCCCCCGCAGACCAGGGGTCCCCCCGAGTCCCCCTGCGGGGAGAAAGGGAAGCTGGGGGGCGAAGCTTCGGCTCTGGGGAGTGTTCCCAGCCCCGTCCTAACCACCCTTCACCATCCCCCCCATCGAGATCCCCCTCCCCCCAACTCCTATCTTCCCTCCATACCACCCAGGTGAACCCAAACCAGCCCCACCCCAAGGCGGCCCTCCTCAGCCAACCCGCGTCCAGCCCTCACCCGAATCCTCCCCAAGCCCTAGCCCCGTGGTCGGCAAACTGCGGCTCGCAGGCCACACGCGGCTCTTTGGCCCCTTGAGTGCGGCTCTTTCACAAAATACCCACGGCCTGGGCGAGTGTCTATGTTGAAGAAGTGGCGCTAGAAGAAGTTTTACATTTAAACAATCTGGCTCTCCAAAGAAATGTCCGTCGTCGCCCTGTTGCTGTTTGGCTCTGTGGACTCCTGAGTTTGCCGACCCCTGGCCTTAGATCTTCCCCATTCCAAACAGGGGATCAGGCCCACGCCCAGTGTCCTGCCCTTTGCCTCCTACCTCCCATGCCCATGCCATCCCAAACCCACCACCCGTGTCTCCCACTCCCATCTCACCCCCATTCTAACTGCCCTTCCTTCTCCACCCCCAGACCTACCCCTGGCCTCTTCTCTGACCCCCCCCTCCCCGACCCCCGCAAGCAAGCACAGTGTGACCCTGGCCCCATTCCCGAACACGGGGCCCGGGCTGTGGCCCCCTCTTGGCTCTGACCTCGCAGGAATCGGTGCCTCCACCTTCCACGCCCGCACACACCATGGTGTCCATGAGGTGCCCAGGGTAGTCCTTGCTGCAAGACGCGTCCGAGATGATGCTGATGTTGGCGCAGTGCAGGGTATCCGGGAGGTTCACTGCGGAGAGAAGACAGAGGGCCTTGGGCTGAATCCACACATTTTCTTTCTTTCTTTCTTTCTTTCTTTCTTTCTTTCTTTCTTTCTTTCTTTCTTTCTTTCTTTCTTTCTTTCTTTCTTTCTTTCTTTCTTAAAAATATATTTTATTGATTTTTTTACAGAGAGGAAGGGAGAGGAGAGGGATAGAGAGTTAGAAACATCGATGAGAGAGAAACATCCATCAGCTGCCTCTTGCACACCCCCCGACTGCGGACGTGTCCGCAACCCAGGTACAAGCCCTTGACCAGAATCGAACCTGGGACCTTTCAGTCCGCAGGCCGAGGCTCTAGCCACTGAGCCACACCGGTTTCGGCAAATCCACACATTTTTTCCAGGCCCTGGTGGTCCTCTCCGCCCAAGAGCCCGCCCTGCCCTGGAGGACAGGGTCCCGGAGGTCTGGGTCCCCGGAGGAGGCCTGACCCCCGGCTCCATCCCCCCCACGCACCTTGGGACTCCGGCCTCCCCGTGGGCTCGGACTCGTAGCCGGACACCAGGCCCCAGCCGGACACCACGCAGGGGTCGCCGGGCCGCGGGCAGCGCGCGGGCAGGGTCGCGGGCCGCACGCGGCGGGACACGCGCGCCGGCCGCGCCAGGCGCAGCAGCATCAGGTCGTTCAGGTGCGTGCGCGCCACGTAGCCCGGGTGCGGGATGATGCGCACCGCGGTGCGTAGCTGCTCCGTGCCGTCGCGCTTGCGCAGGTTGTGCTCGCCCAGGTGCACTCGCATGTGGCTGTGCGGGCGAGTGGTTAGGGTGCGGGGTGGGGGGAGGAATAGACAGAAACATAAAAGAGCGGGCAACCTGGGGCCCCTGGACCCCTTTGCAATCTAGATACCCTATTGCCCTCCCCCTAAAGCCCCCTAAAGCCCCCAAGCCCCCTTTGGGACCTAGATACTCTATTGCCCTCCCCCTAAAGCCCCAAAGCCCCCATTGGGACCCAGATATCCTATTGCCCTCCCCCTAAAGCCCCAGAGCCAATCGTTCCAGCCCCTTCCCGCCCCCGTTCTCCTAAGGGCACCCCCCCCCCCCCGTTCCCTCCCCACAAAGCGTGCACAGGCCTCAGGCTCCAGCTCGCTCTTCTGCAGAGTCAGGATTCTGAGACCCCCTGCCTAGACCCTTCCCCCCCCCCCCCCCCATGGCCCCAGGGACCCCGAGCTGTGCCTCCTTCCTACCGGGTTTGGCAGTGAGCTGCGGACAGCACCCAGTACGGGGAGACGAGGGAGGCCCCGCAGTTAAAGCGTCCGCGGTCAAAGAGGGCCACCTGCCAGGGCTGGGAGTGGGGCGCGCACTCCTGCCCCTTCAGCACCTTGCCGCTGCTGTTGTCCTGAGCTGCGGGGAGAGGAGGGTGTGTGTGTGTGTGTCAGAGGCCTTGTCTTTTCTTTTTAAAAATGTAGCCCTCACCGGTTTGGCTCAGTGGGTAGAGCATCGGCCTGCGGACAAAAGGGTCCCAGGTTCGCATCAGTCAAGGGCATGTTCCTTGGTGGCAGGCACTTCCCCGTTGGGGGTTTGCAAGAGGTGGCTGATCGATGATTCTCTCTCATCAATGTTTTTGACTCTCTATCTCTCTCCCTTCCTCTCTGTAAAAATCAATAAAATATATTAAAAAAAAATATTTTCCCTAACCAGTTTGGCTCAGTGGATAGAGCCTCGGCCTGCGAACTCAAGAGTCCCAGGTTCGATTCCGGTCAAGGGCATGTACCTTGGTTGTGGGCACATCCCCAGTGGGGGTGGAGGGGTGTGTGCAGGAGGCAGCTGATGGATGTTTCTCTCTCATCGATGTTTCTAACTTTCTATGCCTCTCCCTTCCTCTTTGAAATCAATAACAAATATTTTAAAAATATATTTTATCGATATTTTCCAGAGAGGAAGGGAGAGGGAGAGATAAAAACATCAAAGATGAGAGAGAATCAGGGATTGGCTGCCTCCTGCATGCCCCATGCTGAGGATGAAGCCTGCAACCCAGGCCTGTGCCCCCGCCAGGAATAGAACCCTGGCCTTCTGGTTCCTAGGTGGATGCTCAACCACAGAGCCACGCCAGCTGGGTGGTGTCAGAGTTCTTTTCCTTGCACCCTGACCTCACTGTGTGTTTTTCACCTGCACACACCCCTCCCCTCCCCCACGTGTTATTGATTTGTAAGCATGGCCTTCTGTCTAGCGCAGTGGTGGGCAAACTGTGGCCCTTGAGTGTGGCTCTTCCACAAAATACCACGTGCCCTAATTAAGTGAATAACAACGTACCTCCCTATATAGTTTACGTTTAAAAAATGTGGCTCTCTCAAGACATTGCAGTCGTTGTCCTGTTGAGATGTTTGGCTTTGTGGATTCATGACTTTGCCAGCCACTGGGCTAACGTTTACAACTTCTGCCGATCTCCTCCAGAACTGTGCCCCCTGTCCCTGGTCCCCACCCAAAGGCCCCTGGGAGAGAGAAACATCGGTGGGAGAGAAACATCGATCAGCTGCCTCTTGCACACCCCCTACCGGGGATGTGCCTGCAACCAAGGTACATGCCCTTGACCGGAATCGAACCCGGGACCCTTCAGCCCGCAGGCCGGTGCTCTAGGGACGGGGACGGGGCCGGAGGACGAGACGCCCTCTGTCCCTGGGCGTGGAGAAGGGGCCATGGATACCGGGCGGGCAGGTGGCCATTTGGAACCAGCCATTTGTTCAAGGTCGTTGAGCTGTCACAGACGTCAAGTGGATGCAGCCACTCAATACGCGTGACGCGCAGTCTTGGCTGCGGAGCCCGGACACCTCAGCCAAATGCATTGTGTCAGACATAGAAGGACACGGGCAAGACCTCACAAGGTCACGGGCGAGGGAGCGGGCCCCGCGGGCCTTCCGCACGTGAGAGCTGACACGGACAGCACCGGAAGCTGAAACTCACGTGCACCGACATGAGGTGCAGCCTCGAGAATCACAGCACAGACCGAGGGGGTTTGGCTCAGTGCGGGGAGCATCGGTTGTCAGGCGTAAAGGCTCGTGGGTTTGTTTCTGGCCAAGGGCACGCACCTCGGTTTGCAGACTCGATCCCCAGCCCTGCTAGGGGAACGTGTGGGAGGCAACCAATGGATGTGTCTCTCTCACATCGGTGTTTCTCTCTCTGTCTCTTCCCCACCCACCCCTTCCACTCTCTCTATAAAAAAAATCAATGGAGCCCTAACCAGTTTGGCTCAGTGGATAGAGCCGACAGCCTGCGGACTCAAGGGTCTCAGGTTCGATTCCGGTCAAGGGCATGTACCCTGGTTGTGGGCACATCCCCAGTAGCGGGTGTGCAGGAGGCAGCTGGTCGATGGTCCTCTCTCATTGGTGTTTCTAACTCTCTATCCCTCTCCCTTCCTCTCTGTAAAAATGCAATAAAATATATTTAAAAAAAAAATCACTGGAGCCTGGCCAGCATGACTCAGTGGCTGAGCGTTGACCTATGAACCAGGAGGTGTTAGTTTTGTCAGGGCACAGGCCTGGATTGCCGGCTTGATTCCCCTGTGTGGGGTGTGCAGGAGGCAGCCAGCCCCTCCGTGATTCTCTCTCATCATGGATGTTTCTATCTCTCTCTTCTTCTCCCTTCCTCTCAAAAATAAATAAAAATATAGTAAAAAAAAAAAATCAATGGAAAAATGTCCTTGGGTGGATTAAGAACCACCACAAAAGAATAATAAATAAATCCTAAAAAAAAAAAAAATTCTCAGCACAGGGGTTCCTATGTGCGTAGGAATGCAGACCGTTAAGATGTGGGCGTGTGTGCCAGCATGTGCACGCGAACACACACACACACACACACACACACACACACACACACACACACGAGTCTATAGCCGTGGTCAGCAAACCGAGGCTCGCGGGCCACACTCGGCTCTTTGGCCCCTTGAGCGTGGCTCTTCCACAGAACACCACGTGCGGGCACGCCCGTACAGTGCGATTGAAAAGCTCCGTGGCCCATGCCCAGAAGTCGGTTTTCGGCCTGGGCAGGTCTATTCTGAAGTAGTGGCTCTAGCCGAAACCGGTGTGGCTCAGTGGATAGAGCGTCGGCCTGCGGACTGAAGGGTCCCGGGTTCGATTCCGGTCAAGGGTATGTATCTTGGTTGCGGGCACATCCCCGGTGGGGGGTGTGCAGGAGGCAGCTGATCGGTGATTCTCTCTCATCAGTGTTTCTAACTCTCTATCCCTCTCTCTTCCTCTCTGTGAAAAATCAATAAAATATATTAAAAAAAAAAAAAAAAGAAGTGGCTCTAACGCTGAGCCACATTCAAGGGGCCAAAGAGCCGCGTATGGCTCGAGAGCCCCGGTTTCCCCCCCGACCACTGGTCTACAGGGTGGTGGTTAAATCTGGAGTGATAGAGTTACACCCCCAGCCTCCCGCCCCGCCTCCAAACATATTATCTGTGAGGCTCCGAGCGAATGATTGGACCTCTTCTGTGCCTCTGTTTCCTCAGCTGTAAGATGAGATTGTTTAAGGGCTCGATAGTTGTGTGTGTGTGTGTGATGCCTGACATACTGTGACTGCTTTTTAAAAAAAATATATATTTTATTGATTTTTTTACAGAGAGGAAGGGAGAGAGATAGAGAGCTAGAAACATCAATGAGAGAGAAACATCAACCAGCTGCCTCTTGCACACCCCCCACTGGGGATATGTCCACAACCAATGTACGTGCCCTTGACCGGAATCGAACCCGGGACCCTTCAGTCCGCAGACCGACGCTCTATCCACTGAGCCAAACCGGTTTTGGCTACTGTGACTGCTTAATGAATGTTAATTATTTTAAACAAGGGGTTCATCGCTGGAACCGGTTTGGCTCAGTGGATAGGGCGTCGGCCTGCGGACTGAAAGGTCCCGGGTTTGATTCCGGTCAAGGGCATGTACCTTGGTTGCGGGCACATCCCCAGTAGGGGGTGTGCAGGAGGCAGCTGATCGATGTTTCTCTCTCATCGATGTTTCTAACTCTCTATCCCTCTCGGTAAAAAAAATCAATAAAATATATTTAATAAAATAAATAAACCAGGGGTTCAGAGATGCATTCCTGCAGACAGAACATGTGGACGTTCAGGTGGTGGCCATCAAGGCAGCCAGAGTAAGTCAGGTGTATGACCAGGCCCAGGGCAGGATAATCCAGGTCAACACGGTGACTCCTCCCCAAGCCACTCTGTGGAGGCCCAGAGGGCCAACACCGGGTCCCCTGGACGGGTCCTGTCTGGAGGCCGGTCTGGCTAGTCCACGTCAAGGACATGGATGTAGCTGGAGACACCGGCCACCAGAATGGGATCTATGTGTCCACGTCTAGGTCAGCCTCCAGGTCGGCTGCTTGGTGTCCAACTTGAACCTGAACCAAGAAAAAGTCCTGGAGGTACAAGAGGGAGCTGCCGCCGAAACCGGGCTGGCTCAGTGGATAGAGCGTCGGCCTGCGGACTGAAAGGTCCCGGGTTCGATTGTGGTCAAGGGCATGTACCTTGGTTGCGGGCACATCCCCGGTAGGGGGTGTGCAAGAGGCAGCTGATCGATGATTCTCTCTCTTTGAGAATCTCTCTTTCTCATTCTAACTCTCTGTCTCTCTCTCTTCCTCTCTGTAAAAAAAAAAAAAAAAAAAATCAATAAAATATGCTTTAAAAAACAAACAAACAAACAAAAAAAAGTGGGAGCTGTTGGGGGGAAGGGCTGGGTTGGGGTCCGGGGGAGGGTCTGGGGGAGACACTCATGCCAGGTGTGGGGACCAGGCTCACCCACGTGAGCAGGGTCTTGCACTCCCCCTCCCTCCAACAGCTCCACGCACAGAGATGTTTCACGGTCCCGGGACCCTGACCCCCCTTACCCTGGGCACCATGCCTATGTCCCTTCAAGGTCGCAGCCAGACACACGACACCACCCACCCCGGGGCAGGCGTGCACAGCCAAGATCAGATGCCCATGCTCTGCCCCCTAAGGGTTGGGCACTGGGCCAGGAGCCCTGGCAAGGCGGGGAGAACTGGGATGAGGTGGACACGGGACGGGACCGGGGAAGGGTGGGCCGCCCTCCGGAGAAGGGCAGAGGGTGCCGGAGAAACAGCTGGGCGCCGAGGCCGAGCCCGGCCGGTCGGAGCCGGAGGAGGCGGGGAGCAGAGAGCACGGACAGGGCCCCAGGGGATGCTGGCAGCGGGCGGAGGGGGGTGAGGGGAGGCTGGAGGGGCCTCCTGGGGCGAGAGGGTCATGTGTGTGTGTGTGCCAGTTCATGGAAGTCCATCCTGGCCTCCCCCAGGGTGGAGGCATCGGGTTACAGCGAAGCCCTTCACGGGTGGTAGACGGGTGCGTCAGGCGCTCTCCCGCCGTCCGCAGGGGGTCACCTTGACCTCCAGGCTGCCCCTCTCCGAGTCCCAGCCCCGTCCTCTGCCCAAGGAGGCCCGGGGCCCACCCCAGGGGGATGCTGCCTGGGTCAGAGGGCGCTCCCTCGCATTCCTGACGGGCCCTCCCAGTGCCTCCACCTCTGTTGTTCTCCCTGGGGGAACCTGTCACTGAGGGATTTCCCCCACTCTCCCCGGAACTGAATCCCGGGTCTCTGCCACCCCAGGGCGGTGTGTCTGTTGTCATGGGCAGTGAGAGGCCCCATGAGGCATGGGGACTCCCTCAGTGGTCCCTCCCGCCCTTCCTTCCTCCCTTCTCCCTCCCCCCAGCGCCTGACAGCTGTCAGATGGAGTGAGGACTCAAAGATATGGGCAGGTGGCTGAGGTGGGGCAGGGCTGAGGGAGGGAATTGACGGACCATCTGACTGGTCCGTTGGTTTCTGGGTAAAGGCGGGCTTGGCAGGTTGCAGGGCCCGGAGATGCGCTCGGGATGGGGGCGTTCGGGGAGCACCCCACTCCCACCGACCCCAGCCCCTGGCCGGGGCCCACCTCCTCACCTGCGGACATCAGCAGGAAGGAAAAGACGAGGAGCCACATCGTGGAGGAGGGACCCGGGCTCTGCTGACGTCTGGGGAGGAGGAGAGAGGGAACCGGGGTGAGGCTGGCTCCTCCTGCCCGCCATCGGGGACCCCTCGGGACACAGACGTATCCCACTGCTGCTTAACAAACGTCTTCTCGCCCTGGCCGGTTTGGTTCAGAGGATAGAGCGTCGGCCTGCGGACTGAAAGGTCCCAGGTTCGATTCCGGCCAAGGGCATGTACCTTGGTTGTGGGCATATCCCCAGTGGGAGGTGTGCAGGAGGCAGCTGATCGATGATTCTCTCTCATCGATGTTTCTAACTTCCTCTCCCTCTCCCTTCATCTCTGTAAAAAAAAACTCAATAAAATATATTGGAAAAGAAAAAAGAGCCCTAGCTGGTTTGGCTCAGTGGATAGAGCGTTGGCCTGGGGACGTAAGGGTCCCAGGTTCGATTCCAGCCAGGGGCACATGCCTGGGTTTCGGGCTTGATCCCCAGTGGAGGCTGAGCAGAAGGCAGCCGATCATTGATGTTTCTATTTCTCTCTCCCTCTCCCTTCCTCTCTAAAATCAATAAAATATATTAAAAAAAAAGAAAAAAAGGAAACGTCTTCTCACCATCCTCACTCCCCAGCCCCATCCCCAGCCTGCTCTTCTGCCCGGTATCCCATCTGCCATGGGTCTGCCATCCCTCCAGGCACTGGGATCGACGCCCAGGTGCCCGCCCAGCCGGGCAGAGGCGACCGGCCCCATGGATCTCTCTCTCTCCATCTCCAAGGTCCCGGCTCAGGGCACATTCTCTCCCCGAACCCTATGCTGGGGTCCTCCCCACCCTCCCCGAGTCCGTGTCTCCACTCAGGTTCCCGGCCTAGACCACCCCACAGGGTTTCTCTGCACCTGGGGTTGGCTATGCCCCATTCCTCCTGGCACGAATCTTTTTTTTTTTTTTAAATATATATTTTATTGATTTTTTTACAGAGAGGAAGAGAGAGGGACAGAGAGTTAGAAACATCGATGAGAGAGAATCATTGACCAGCCACCTCCTGCACACCTCCTACTGGGGATGTGCCTGCAACCAAGGTACATGCCCTTGACTGGGATCGAACCTGGGACCTTTCAGTCCACAGACCGATTCTCTACCCACTGAGCCAAATCGGTTTCGGCTGCAAGTGCTTTCAGGAACATCCTCCAGATTCACTTCAGCCCCCTTCCCACAACCCCATTCCCCATCCCCTTCCCCCCTTCCCCCATTCCTCATCCCCCTCCTCCCATCCCCCCACCCCCAGCTCCTTCTTACATCTCCAGGGCATTGTCTTGGTTCAAGGTCAACGCAGACCACCAGTGAAGGACACCTGGGCCTATACAGGTGACCTTGACACTCGACTCCCGCAGGGTGGTCCCTGTATGTCTCTTAGACTGTCTCCCCTCATCGCCCCCCTTCCATTCCTGTCCGGAGATCTTACCCCCTTCCGATGCTCTGGCAGCATCTGGGGCGGCTTGGACGCCAGGAGAAGGGGAGCGAGCACCCGGATGCCGGAGTTTATAAGCGTGCAGCCCCGCCCGGGCCTGGGGGGAGTGGGTGGGTGGGGTGGGGTGGGGTGGGAGGCGGCCGAGAGTCTCGCCTTTACAGGCTGGACGCCTGGATGGCGGGGGGGTGGGGGGTGGGGGGACGAGGCCTAATAAACGTTTATTGGGCTGAAACTTTGGTCTGCGTCTCCAAGGAGGAATGTCCCCGCCACGGGGGAGAGGCAGGATGGCTGGAGCTGAAAATTGGGGGGTGGGGTGGGGGTCAAAATGCAGAGCGTTGGATTCTGGAGCCTGGAAACCTGGAGCCGGGGTGGGGAGTGTAGACACTGGATTCTGGAGTCACACTTCCTTCGCCTGGAGCAGGGTTCCGGATCTTGAATTCTGGACTTGGATCTAGACTCTTCACGCCGGATCTCCAGTTCTTAACTCTGGACTTCCCTCTGGATTCTGGATCTTTGATTTCTGGACTCTGGATCTCTGATTTCTGACGTTGGGTTCTGTATCTAGTATCTCCTGTTCTGGACCTCTGGTTTTGGATCCAGATACCCGGTTCTAGACCTTGAAGTCTAGACGTCTCCGTTTTGGATTCTGGATCTCTCTGGTGGTTCTGGATTCTGGATCCAGATTTCTGGTTGTGGGTCTCTTGATTTTGGTTCTCCTGTTCTGGATTCTGAGTTTTGGGGTCTAGAGTTGGGGATCCATGACCTGAACTGTAGAGTGTGAATTTTGGAGTAAGTCTTGCATTCTGGAATTTGGGCCGGGCCTTTGAGTGACGTCTCTGGCATGGGTTCTAGATCCCGGGCCTTTGCACCTAGCGTGCAATCTGTAAGTCTGGAGTCTAGCATTTGCAACCTAAGACTTGAAGTCAGAAGTCTTTGCTTCTGCTTCCTGAAGTCTGGAACCTGGAGATTTTGAATTTTGGAACCTGAATCCTAGAGGCTAGGTCTAGACCCTGAGATTTCCTGGGCTGATGTTGGAGTCTGGAGATTCAAATCTACATGGTATAGTTAAGAGGCTGAAAAAAAAAAAAAAAGTGGCCAGACATAATAGACCTGGTTGCCATGATTACTGGACTCCTAAAATCTTGACTCTGGAGCATAAATTTAGCGACCTGGAGGCTGGAGTCTTTACTCTGGATCCTGCAGTCTTTTTAAAAAGAATATATTTTATTGATTTTTCACAGAGAGAAAGGGAGAAGGATAGCGAGTTAGAAACATCGATGAGAGAGAAACATGGATCAGCTGCCTCCTGCGCACTCCCCACTGGGTATATGCCTGCAACCAAGGCACATGCCCCTGACCGGAATCGAACCTGGGACCCTTGAGTCCCCAGGCCAGCACTCTATCCACTGAGCCAAGCAGGCCAGGGCATGGATCCTGTAGTCTTGATGCTGGTTCTGAGGCTTGAAATCTGGATTCTGCTCTTCGGAGGCGCGGAGATCATCCCTAAGATGACATTCCTCCCAATTTACATTCCTCCTGGAGGCCCCTTCCCATGCCTCAGGACTTGAGAGGGCCCTGGGTCGCTCCTGCCTCGTGTGAGGCACAGAGCGCTGGAAGGAGGACTGACCCCAGAGCACACCCTGACATTACAAGCACCGCCCCTCCCCGAGTCTGGAAAGCCACCTCCTTTATGGGCAGGGGATGCAATCCATCTGGGGACTGGGTGTGTAGGAGGCCAGTGGCCAGTGTCTAGGGGGCCCTGACCCTCGACTTCCCCTCGGATCATAAGCAGAGTCCGATGTGGGCTCGCCGGGAGGGCACTCTGCCTGGCTCACAGCATGGTGACGTCTGAGTCCCCCCTCCCTCCCATCCTGGCCAGTCAGACCTGGGTGATGGGTGGCATTTACCCACATGTCCTTCACCTTAACCGCAGCCCGCGTCCCGCCCTGTACCCTGCTCCTCCTCCTCCTCGCCGGAGTCTCTCATCAACTCGTGGTTCAACCGCCAGCCACCCAGGTCTCCTCCGTTTGACCCTGAATGCTTGCCCGGGGCGGCCACCTGGTCCTGGTTCTCTCTTTCCCCAAACTGGCCTCCCCCCACGCTCCCCATCTTAGGGGCAGCCCCACCGTCCACCTAGCCAGGTGGTGACCTCTGCTCCCGTCCCTCCAGCCCAGAGGTCCCCGGTCTGGCTCCTCCCTGTCCCTGCCTCTCTCTGTCTCCTTCTCTCCCCTCTGTCCCCCTGGGCTTGGCTGCAGCTCAAAGGTCCCCCTAGGCTAAGGCGACCAGATTTTAACATTGGTAAAGCAGGACACCATTGACGGGGAAGGGGGCATGTCTTGATTAAAAATTTGGTCTCTATGGAGCAACAAAAATTTTCATAGAACCCCAAAATAGTATTGTACTATATTTTTAAAAATTTTCAACACGAGTACAATTTACAAATATAATAAAAAAAATTTACGTATAGTCGTAAGTGTCACTTTCAAGGCCAGCACTAGACTTTATGCCGCCACTATAACATATAATATAAATAATACGAGTACCGTCTGCTAAATTCAAGAAAATTTATGCATCTATGAAGGAAATAGATGAATTACCTAAATTATCTGAACAGCTGATTTGTAATGACATCACTTGTTTAGCTAGCTTACTAGCACGCAGGACGATGTGTATTGCCTGAGAGGCAGCTACACAATGTTTTCATCCTTGCCAGTCCCCAAAGATGTGCATCACGTCCAAACAATGGTGGCCGGATTCTGACACCTGATCAACAACGCGAACTTTGATAAGCAGTTCTCGGTAATCAGTTCTCAACAATGATTTGTTATTATTCAAGCTTAACATGATAAAATTAACAAAAACAATATAAAACTCATATCCTGGCTAAAGAGCCACATGGCCGCCGAAAACCGTATATTCCCTTCCCGTTCTCCCGCAGTTCCCTCGTGCATTCTTTCCAAAAATGGGGACTTTATTTTTTATTTTTTAAATGCCGCGGGACAAATTGTTAAAAATCGGCGGGATGTCTGGTCCCCTTACCCAATGCCCTTGAACCCGCACCCCAGCCTCCTCCCCGACCTCCCACCTTCCAGTGCATTCCCTCCCTCCGTCACCAGGTGGCCCCAGAGGGCTGTCTACACTCAGACCTGCCAGGTCCCTCACCTGCTCACAGCTCCTGGGACTCCTCCCTGCATCGGACAGGTCATTTGAGGTCAGCCTGGCGTTTGAGGTCCTCTGAGGTCCCCCCTGGAGGGGCCTGGAGGCAGGCAGAGGGAGGAGCGGTGAGGAACCTCTCCTGCCTGCTTCCCAGGCTGCTCTGGGGTCCCACCGCCTCTCTGAGGTGGAGACCTGGGACGCCTGCCCAGCACCGCGTGTGTCTGAACCGAGTTCCTAAAGAGCAAAGACCTTGCTGTGGCTGATGCTTGCTGTTTGCAGGCTGAGCTGAAGCAGGGCCGGGGCTGAGCGGCCTGCTCGCGGGCTCCCTCTGGCGTCCGTGCGGCGCAGCTGCAGAGGCGAGGGGAGGCAGTGGGCTCCATCCGGGAGCCAGCCCAT